AAATTCAATGAATTTATTTTTCGTGCGTTATTGTAATCACTACTAAATAATAATCACGAATATACTTTTCGTTACCAAGAAAATTAAAAAAATAAATGCATATTACATTAAAAATACTGAGTATTTTTTGTATCATGTGGAATTTTTTTTTGATTGACTGTAATTTTTCAACATTTCGTAACGCCTATTTTAGAACCAAAATAAGGCCTTTCACTCTTCCCCGACGCCTATTCAAGAGATTGTACGGTGTATTGTTTGTTTTGTGCATGTGTTGTGGACAAAAAATGACCACGCCCATTTAGTGATTGCAATATGTACGTAATAGAAACCGCGCCCCGAACTTGAGCTTTTGATCCCAATTTTTAAATTGATACATTGTAATATAAACCGTGGTTTATAATAGGACTTTAACGGTATAGTTCCATTTGTAGTCTGCTCTTTTTAACAGAAAATGTTGACATATATTTTCAAATGTTTTGATGAAAAGCTAAAACAATATTATATTAGGTCAGTTTGGTCAAAAATTAAGTCTAAATTCAGTGAAAATTACACAAAATGTGATCAAATTTACACTAATTTTTTTTAAGCACAAACAAAAATTGGCATTCAAAATGGTAAGAAAACACATAAATATCAAATATTCTGAAATACTTACGCATAAAAGGTGGTATATACTTGTAATAGACAAATGGGATGTAAAAAATGAGACCTGCGAAAATGAAGATAGTTGCATAAAGATACTCCAGAGCTGGTTCATCAATAATCGGCGCTATTACCAGATAGATGGAAGCCAGAAACACAATGATGGGGATGATTATCGGCACCTGGAACAGAGAAATTTTTTTTTTTAAATATCGAACAATTTGCAAGTCAGTTTCAATATAGTAATAAACACACATGTAACTTGTAATCATTTTAACCCAAACAATGATAAGACGAGGAAAACTTAAGATTAAACTAGTTTCATAGAAAGTGTGATGTATATCAAACTAGGACGATATGAACTGAAAGTTAACTTAATCAATTTTAAAGGCGTGTTCAGTTCGCAAATTTTTCAGTGAATAAAAAAGACGAAATACATTTCTTATTCCTATCAATAGTGGATGCTGGTCACCAATAGAGGGAGCTAGTTTTTGTTTCCATGAAGACTAAAATATACTCACCTTGATCGGCCTTTTGACATCTTTTTTGGTAAATCTCATGACAATGAGCGCTAACATCGTGCCACCGTAAAACAGCCATGCAGTAAAACTGAAGTAATTTACCAGTTGGTCGAAGTTACTTGGAATAATCATCAAAATTGAAAGAAAAGACTGGAAAATAATAAACGAGATAAAATTTGAATTTCGATTCAAACAATTGTAATTTTGATGACAAGAAACACCACATTTTTGCAAATTATACCTTTTACAATATTAACCACAATATTTTTTTTTCAAGTAGTATCTATTTGGTCCCAAAATTAACAAACATTATAGAAAAATGTTGGATAAAAATTTGGCGAGAATAATTACCGTGAAAGCTACAGCTGGAAACGGTGTTAGTCTTTTGACATGTACCATGGAAAGCACTTCAACCATGTGACCTTCACGAGCGGCAACAAACGTCAATCTAATGGAGCAAACAGCAAGCGGTACATTTCATAAAACCATCATACAGTCAAACCTGTTTATAGTGACCACCCAAGAGACTTTGAGGTGACCTTCCTGTACGGGGTACTAATTTATTCATTAATATTAATTAGATAGTGAATCTGCGCAAGGTTCAAACTAATAACCATGTATACACTAAACTCCAAAACAGTTTGAAACATGTTTATTTATTTCTTTTTTTTAGCAAAATGCATATTATTAACAAGATAATGTACATAATTTTAAATAAAATAATTTTATTAGCCATTATCATTTCCAGTTGCTAGAGGAATAAATCTTTTTTTGTGTGTCTATTAGGGACGACGTCAAAAGATCGATGTCGGATAAAAAACTTATTTCTTAGTTTGGGGGTGGGGGGTTTTGAGCTCAAAAAGTTTCCATCCTACAAAAACGATTTTATTTTTTAATGAAGTCAAAAAAATCTTGGAGTATTTGTAGTTCGTTTTTTTTTCTATTCAATCATGGACAGAAATAATAGAAAAGGGAAAAAAACAGAAAAATGGTTTGGTTCGAATGTAAATCTGTGCGTCAAATGAGGTGCATTTGTAAAATCTTTTTACACCCAACCGACAACCAACTGCTATGCAATA